TGTCAAAGATTCATACAGTATGTCTGATTATTCTATTAAGTAGAAGAAATTAAGATTCAAGTGAGTTTCAGTGTACAACCAGATCATACCCAGAATGATGTCGTGGATACTGGTAATAAAATAAAATTGCACTCCTAAACATGCTCTTGATGGCAAGTGTGGCACTTTGATGAAAAACACAAATGGATGTTTATTTTTTATTTAGTCAGACCAGAATTATGTCTTTAAAAAAAATCACAATCAAGACCGAGAGCGCAATTTGTTTTTTTAGGGGAAATATTAAGGTTGTTCTCTTTTCCTATTTTTGCTGTCAGTGGTTCTTCTCTTGTTCTGAGAAGTCAGGGAGAGAAGAAGTTCATTTTTAAAATACATCTGAATTATTTATTTTTTTTTACCAGAACAGCTTTGCCAGAAGTAGATTAAAAAGTTCCTGATGTCCTCCAACACCCTGTAAAATAAAGAGTCTATTTCTCCTTTTTGCACTTCCTCTACACAGTTTAATTCCTTTTTTAAGTCATAAAATTTTACATGTCCCAGTTTTATAAGAGGCAGGCACGATGAACTTTGGTTCAATAGCTGATGCAGGCTGTTTAGAACTGATCTTGAATTAGAAAAATGATTACAGGTGTTCAGTAGAGATTTGTGAACACTTTGAGTTTATGTACTGTGGCTTAAAAGTATGGTGCCGCTGGCATTTCACTGTCTAATCAAACAAATACATACAAAAAATTGTATGTATTTGTTTTTTGTTGTAAGTCAGACCAGAATTATGTCTTTAAACAAAACCACAATCAAGACCGAGAGCGCAGGAAGCAACTCCGGAAGAAAAACAAATTTTCCGTGTGCGCCAGGTGAGCAACATTCATTGGGGAAAAAAAATAGAATAAATGAATGTATTAACATTATGAAAAAAACATTGTCACAATACAGACATTGAAAAATCTCCTCCCTTTTCCCTTTAATACATCCGTGGGAATAATGGTCTCCATCTTGTGATTCGGTATCCATCTGTTATAATATATTAATGGGACGTACAAGGGTTGGATTTAGTTTATTGTTATAATCATTCCTATTGGTGTTTGTGTCTCGTTTGGCACCATGAAGATAAATGAGAACACTGGAGGGACACAAAGTTGTGTTTGTTCCTTACAATGTAAACCACGTGGCCAGGTAACGTTAACATTAACACCTAATCACGAACCTATCACGTTTCCCTCTCAGGTCTCTTTAGTGATTGGTGTTTGAATGTCATTTCTTTATTATCAGTGTTTAAACATGGCAGATGGGTTTTCTGGAGCTTTCCGTCGTATCATACAGTCTCATTTGTCATGGAGCATCTGAAAGCTTTTTGTCCAGGCTGGCACAAGGTAAAGAAATAACTTAGGACAGATGACACATCTGACCCAGCTGTCACTACAAACCTTTGACAGTCTGAAGTCTCTTTAACTGGCACAGCAGAACCAGCTCCAGTCCTTTGGCATCTGGATATATGATTAAGTTAAAGCTGTAGAAACCTGCAGTCCCTGTCTCATATCCACCTGTTTCCACAATTCAGGTATCATGAATGGATGCCCAGAACTGCAGCATCTGACCGCCTCAGAGCCACTGACCCTGGTACGACATGCAGGGGAGCTGGAGAGAAGATGATGACAGTAAGACTTCTTCTGCAGTAAATGTACACACCGAACATGCTCTTATTCATCTTCTAAAGCAGTTGTTATAAATCTGAAGGCTTGCCAGACTTGGCCTTTAGCCTTTTTTCATGTGAATAACTGAAAAATCTCTGAAAACTGCCTAAATAAAACAGAGAGAGAAAAACTCTTTGGTTGAACTGATCATACAGCAGTGGCTGGAAAGATAAATCTGAGAGAACGTCTTTTACTTTTGTTAACTTATTTTAAGTTAGAGTAACAAGTTTTTAACATTCAGAGTGTTTACAATGCCTACATAAATAAGCTAACACATTGTCCAAATAACAGAAACTTATTTAATACAACTTATGACAGGATAAAGTGAAATATGATTCGGTGACATTTGCTTTATGAGGTCAACACTGCTTTCAAGTTCTGTCCTTATAGCATCCAAATCATTCCTTTCAGACATTCATACCATCATCCATCAGATTTGTTAGGTTAAAGTGTTTATAAATAACTGGTAATCATTGGATATGATGTGAAAATAACACATCATTCTTTCTGAGGTCATGCACTAGTAAAATCATTCAACTTTTACTTAAAGAAAAGCTGTTTAATTTAACTTTTTATTTTTTGCCAGAGTGAACATTCATCATCTTGGATAAGCAGCAATGGGCAGATCCCAGTATAGAAGTGGAGCAGCGCACAGATCCCAGTATAGAAGTCGAGCAGCGCATGGTGGGAGATGTCAACATGTTCCTGACGGACCCAACAGACCTCTCCTCTCCTCGGCTGAGCTGGAGATCATGATAGAAGGTGATGCCCAGTGTGCTTATCTTAACAGTGATTCAACCTGTGGTGGAGCAGGAAAAATAATAAATGCAAACTCACCATGAGAATGCAGACAGCAGTGGATGAGACTGATGCAGGTGTATGGTTTGTTGTAAGACGACTTCCACAATAAACTTTTAAATAGTATTTTTTTGTGCATTTGTCAGGAAAAGTAAACTGCTCCTAACATTCAGTACTATTCTGTTACTTTACATTTTACATGTTGACTAAAAATGAAGGGTTGATAGATTGCTCAGTTCTCATTCCTTAGATATAAACTACATTTGACAACGTGTGATAAGCTGTGTTGCTAGACTTGCCAAAGCAGCTGAAAACTACATTTTTACATGCATCTCTGTACAGTATTTATTTGAAACCCCTCTTTTTTCCATACTAAATATTAGTGGTTTTACATTTTATTTAAAAAAACAAATGGTAGGAATAAGCCACAGTTTAACCTAAAACATGTCTTGTAACTTTTTCTTGTTCCTTCTCCTCAGCAAACAGTAAGGCTGCCCTTTAGTGGTGGCACACAGCATTTCACCAATCTTAACAAGTCTGCCTGCTAGTCAAATGAATGGCAAATGGCAATGGTACAAATCAAAGTCAAAATGTTTGTCATATGCACAGTTAGGAAACGTGTTTCCCTGTACAATAAAATCCTTACGTTGCCGTCGACATGAATGCCACAAAAATACAACTGAAATATAAAGTACCATATTTTCAGGACTATTGAGCGCACCTGAATATAAGCGGCACCCACTAAATTTAAAACGAAAAAACAGTTTGTACATAGCTGTCCACATTGTAACATGAGATATTTCGACAGGCAGATTGATCACCTTTAATTTGAAAGCTGCATCATATGCATTTCGTCGTGTGTTTTCCATGATGAGGGTGTGTGCATGAAGCGAAAAAAGTAGCGGCTTATAGTCTGGAAATTACGGTAGATAAACAAGCAACACAAAATCTAAGGCACTTTAAGCAGCAAATATCAATGTATGTACATGGTCACAATTTTTGTAAGCATGTCTAGGAAAGATTTGTATGTAAAAACATTTCTGAACATGTGAATAAAATCAGCAAACAAATTATGTTACACAAAGAGACTGAAAACAAGCATGTCTGTGAATATCTGTGTACAGGCAGAAAGTAGCAAATCAAAGTTCAAAGTGTTTATTTTGTCATATGCAGTTAGGTAACGTGTTTCCCTGTACAATGAAATTCTTACTTTGCTGTTCACATGAATGCCACAAAATACAAATGAAATATAAAGTAGATAACACAAAATCTAAGGCACTTTAAGCAAATTACACATACAGCTCTATTTAGGAGTACTGAGGTTTAGTGTGAATCACACCTGAATCGGATTGAACAAAGATCAGGGGATAAGGATACAGAGCACCTATTAGGTTTTTAGAAAGCACAGCGTTAAGCAAGATAATATAATGTGAACTGAGTGAGGTTAGTTTGTTATAGTAGTAGGTAGGGGCCGTTTTGAGCCACACTCCAGTCTAGAAGGAGGCGTTAATGCACCTAAAGCTGTTTGCCAACCGTCATTAAACAACAGAAGAAGAAGAATCTAATTGGACAGTGACAGTACAATCACAGAGCAGAGTCAAATTGTCCAATCAGGTGGTAGCTGGGTGGTTCTTAAAGTTAGTTTCCGGTGAGTGCGCTGTAAGTTTGATTGTAGTGGAGATTCAAGATGGACGCCAACGGGACTCAGGTGGGTCGAAAATTGTAGAACATATCAGTAAACATTTCATGTGTTGCGTTCTGTATGTAGGCAGCGCGCAGGTGCTTCGCTGTTAACACAGTTGTCCACATTTATATTTTCTATTCCAGGTGGGATACTTTATCTAGCGTTAGCCTAATGCTAATGTAGGACGTTAGCAAACCTCTGCTAGCAAGAAAGTTTTCAAGGGTAAGGTTAGGTGTCTAGTACTCTTGCTTTGCTTGAGCCTGTCACTTGTCAGGCTAATTGTGAAATCTTCTCCATCTAGGAGAAATCAAGACAAAGACTCCGGCCAGTTTTGATCTCACCGGGTCTTCATCAATACGGAAATTTAACAAATTGTTTGCACCTGTATGTTTCCGCCCTGATGAAGACCCGGTGAGGTCAAAACCGGTCGGAAGCTTTTTACTGAGATGCCTTGTTACAGGTAAGAGTGCTACATTTAAAATGTTGCTTAAATAATAGTGCAAAGGCATTAGTAGAGAAATATATCTAACTTACCAAAAGTAAAAGTTAGTGATGTCCAATTGACACCATGACACCTGTATGGAACCACTTCATTTGTATCCAGTATTGGTTCATTCATTCAAAGGTTCGGTTTAGTGCCATCAGGTGGCGAAATAGTATGCAGCAGAACAATGTCTGAATTATGTGATGGGTGTAACTAGGCTTTGTGTGAATGATGTGAAAACGTTTGTAAAGATTGATTGGTCATTAGGTTGAGTCTATGAACGTATGTAGTGTAGTAGGTGGGAGAAGGCGTGCTTGGGGAAACAGAGGATGTGCTAGGATGGTAATATGTGCGTATGTAACTAGGACAGGGTGTGAATAAATACAAGGGATGGAAAATCAATCTTTTTTTATCCAGAAACAGAAGTTTCTCCACTGTCTTTGGACTGATCAGCTGAAAGTGTTCCCTCATTGGAGAATGGGGTCTCTTCCTAGCTGGCCCCATGGTGATCACACACCAGCCGACAGCAACAACGCACACACCTACTACGCCAACAAACCCACATGTTGCGCATCATCTTGGGTGGCTTTATAGTAGCCCTACGCACCTGCTGACGTGCCCAGCGAGATCTCGCGTCGTGACACCGTATCTGAACTGGTCACGGGAATCACTCAGGCCAGCGGTTTCCCCGACCTCACCAGTCACGTGTCTTTTCAGCAATGATACAAGCCTAGAGGCAGTGGTTCGCGGAAGATCCCTCTTTGAACTCGAATCATGTATCGAGGCCTCGGTGTCAGATGGCCATCACTAGTAAAAGTAGTCTATTAGTTTGTACAGGTTTGTGATCAGAGTAATTGATATAACGAAGACATTATAGGACTAACTCCCCCCATGTATCTTTCAATAGGCCACAGAACGCACGGACAAGAATGTGGGACCTCCACAGCTTAAATAGCCTTGGGTGTGTTGCCAAGAGAACCGACAGTGTTCAGGGCCCCTGTTACTCCTACATATGGACATCAACTGCAACTTGAGGTGAGAAACATTTTAAAGTTGTGGTTGAAGTGAGAGTACTATACTAGCAGTGAGAGGTTCAGGTCAGACTGTAATTTCTCAGCTTTTTTTGCCCCGACAAACTAATTTCAGAAGTGTTTGAGCAACTTTTAGATAAATTGTAATGAAAATTTTCAAATCTAACAAAATATAATTGCATACATTTCATTCTTTGTTCCAATCTGACCCATTTTTTCAACTAACTTCCTAGTTAGATATATGGTGTTTTAAGACAACTGTATGGTGTGCATGTTAGTGCTTTCACTCTGGATTTGTGCAGAAGGTTAGAATGAACTGTAGTGTAACTGTTTCACTTGCTGTATGATAATGAAGCTTTGTTGTGCCTTAAACCAAAACCTGACTCCATCCAAGGTATGCAGTCAACTACATAGCAGTATTTTATAGCAGTAGGTTAAACAATTCTCTAGGCTTTGAAAAGCAGAGTTACTACTATAGTCATTTAAAGCTGACAACTTTGCTACAGTCAACCTTCTAGAATTTAATATTTAAACACCACACATCTTAATTTGGCTTCAGTAATGTCCACATTATATTCGTTCTGTAACAACTTAACTCTGCATCGTTGCTGTTTTAATGTGTGCACTTTCCCCCACAGCCTGCCTTGAAGCCAAGATGGATACAACTGGGAAGACTGGAGTAAGGCCAAAATTTTGGAAACAGGTTTTTTTTTTTTTTTT